ACCCCATTTCATTTATTGACATGAATAGTGGATTCTGTTCTAAATCGTAGGCTTGCTTTGAAGAGTTTGTATGTTTGTATGTAAAGCAGTGAATGTTAACGCGTTTAAGCTAACAGAAAGACGCATAGTTGTAGATTTGCCCTCTTGACACCATGCTCTTCCTCAAGTACATCTATTCGTTACTCGTTGTTTTAAATACCAATGCAGAGATCAATAGCTGTTCTAAAACCATGCACTTGACTGGCATCCCTGCGTTCTTTTTGCCATTTGTGTTATTATTAAGCTGGCGCTATGTATGACGATCAACGAATTTAAAATTTAAATTATTTTATGTATGACTGCTGTATCAAATTAATTTAATAAATTAAATAGGTCTATATGTGCATGCTTGTAACTGTTTATGTGCCGTATATAACATGTGTTTTTGTGTTTTATCTTAGTTTTAATTTTATCTTAAGGAACGCGGTTGCACTTTGATAGTATATACATATATTAGTCATATTAATTGACGTCTGATATGTTTATTCAAAACCATAGGTTCTGAAATTGTCCCAAATTTGTTCAAATAGTTGTTTTGAATATATTGATATATCCTTGATTGTATAATTTTTAGATTATACGACTTATTACGATATAAATATATTATTACGATATCGGATTGTATTATTATGCTATGAGTAATATCGTGTATATCGATTCGTTTGCACTGTACTAGTTAGAATTTCCAAAAGTGGAAGCGGTATATGGCGCCACTGCTTAGACTACCATTTAAGCAAGCAACGGCTATGTTATTTGATTAGTTACGGTATTCACATCCATCTTTTATGGTTTGTTTGGTAGGGAACGAACCTTTTCCAATGATGTTTCAGAACTGGGTCTTTTTTATGCGATTTAGTAGCCGAGAAACGAATAGCTTAGCCAGTAATGCGGATAACGTGGTGTTCCGGTGTCGTCATGCTGCAGCTTCCAGATCTTAAGACCGTGCTGTCTCGGAGGCGGGG